GTTCAGATGTACTCACAGAGCATTTTTTTTAGAGAGAGAAGCAGGGAAAGGGATAGAGATAGAAACATCGATGAGGGAGGAAGTTATCGATTGGCTGCCTTCTGGGGTTTGAGTCCAAAACCCCAGCATGTACCCTAACCAGTAATGGAACTGGCAACCTCTTGGTTCCTGGGTCGATGCTCAACTGCTGAGCCACACCGGCCGGGATTGCTTTGTTTTTCTTTTTTTTTAAAGGAATAGTAGAAGCACTTTATCCCGGAGATTGGGATTTCTCATGGCAATCTAGTGCCCATAGATAAAATTTTAGTGTCTGTCTCTCTGTTTTTCTTTTAAAACCCTCACCCAAGGATATTTTTCTTTCTTTTTCTAAGTTTATTTTAAAAATATATTAAAGTTGGGACCCTAAAGCCCTTGGCAGCTGTATAGACTCAGTGCTGGGAGGGCCAGACTATGCAACTACCAGACTCCAAGTTCCTCCCGGTCTGGTGGCCTGGCGGTGGAAGCATCGCAGGTTTTAAGCCCCTGCAGGGTAGTGAGTGAATTGAATCCCCAGACATCCTCCTGCGCTTGCACTCACCATAGCTCCCGATAATATTTTTCCATTGATTTTCAGAGAGCAGGGAAGGGAGTGAAAGACAGAAATATTGATGTGAGAGGAACACGTTGATTGGTTGCCTCCTGCACATGCCCAAGCCAGGGGCCGAGCCAGGATGAGCTTGCAACCAAGGTACATGCCCTTCACAGGAATTGAACCCGTGACTCTTGGGTCAGCAGGCTGACGCTCTATCCACTGAGCCAAACGGGCTAGGGCTGTTTGTGTCTTGACAAGTGGCCTCCAAACTAATATTTCAATGTTCCAAAGAATGCTTTCCTGCCTCCCTCTCCACTGTTTGTGAGCATCTCTGTCACACACACGAGCAGGGTTTGGCCACTTGGCATTTTCCTGAGAAGATGCCAGTTCTGATCCCTGGGAGAGGTAGCACTAGTTAGCAAATGTGCTGGTATTTTTTGAGGAATACTATGTAGAGCATTACTTGCCTTACCTTATTAATATACTAGGGGAAGAAAGAGGCCCCTGATTTAGACCTCCTTGTGCTGGCTTCAGGGTCTCAAAAATTGTACAGATATTGTTTACTTTCTTATAGAGGTAACTGAGATATAGGTATATACCAGTACAGTCATCCTTTCATATCCATGGTTTTCACATCTGCAGATTCAAACAACTGTGGGTCAAAAATACTCAGAAAAAAAAAATCCCAGGAAGTTTCAAAAAGCAAAACTTGAATTTGCCACTCACCAAGCACTATGCTGAATCCATGCAAATGAAATGATGTGTAGGCATACCCTGTTGTAGCCTGATTCTGTTTTTTCATCTATAAAGTGGGACTGGTATTGCAGCATTTTATATGAGGGACTTGATCATTTACAGAGTCTTATATCTGCAGGGTCCTGGAACCAGTCCTCCACGGTTGCCAAGGGATGACTGTACATGCATTCATAGATATGCATGGATATATGTATATATACTCATGTAAGTGTATATGCATATACACATATACATAGATACATATAGTCCCTGACACATGTTATCTGGCGATTGTCAAGCAAACCCTTGTGAAGATGCAGCCAATGGGCTGTGTTACCAGTCACCTTTCCCTTTCTGACTTTTCCTGAACTCAGATTCTGAGAGTTGGAAAAAACACAGAGCATTTCCAATAAAATCTTCTGCTTGCAGCTTACGTGCAGAATTACATCTCTCAAAAGTGCTTGCTTCCTGCCTCCCTCTCCACTGTTTGTGAGCATCTCACAAGCATGCCATGTGTAATGTAATGGTTCTTAACCAGGAGCAGTTTTGCACCCCAGCAACATTCCGGCTGGGGTGGGCTTTGGAGGGTGGGGATGGTGCAGTCATTCAGAAAAGGTTTATTGAACCCCAGTATGCGCAAGGCTTTGTAGGGGTGTAAATGTGAGAAGCTGGTTTCCCCACTCTCCAGGAGTTTTCTAAGGAAGAGCTTGACAGAGTAGCTGGAGTAACTCGAAGTAGGAAGAGCTGAATGTTGTAAAGGGGCTCATTGGTATAAGAGCGAGACTTCTCTGGAGGTTATGAAGGAAGGCTTTCTGGATCTGCTTCTGATCTGGGCAGATAGGATTGAGATGGTCATTGTAGGTGAAAGAAACAGCTTTTAAGTCAAAGAGTTCTTTTTAAAAAATGTATTCTGTTGAGGTAGAATCTTTAATTTGTCATAGATGTAATAGTTTGGTGGTTAAGAGCTTGGGCTCAGAATTAGACCTCAGTTTGAGTCCTGGTTCTGCATTTGCTATTAGCTCTTGGACCTTGAGCAAACTCTTTAACATTTCTGATTCTGTTTTTTTCATCTATAAAGTGGGGCTGGTACTACCAACTTCATAGAGTCATTGTGAAGGTTAAATGAAATAACACTTCAAAGTGCACTGAACAGTGCCTGGCATTTAGGAAGAGTGTTAGCTGGTTTTATCATATATATTTCTACCCACTGGGAATAGTTCTGCTCTCTGGAATCTGAAATCTGTTCCCCCATCTATATGAAAACTTTTCATATATTTAAAGAGAATTATGACTTCTTTTTATTTTCTCTTTTCGGTCCAAGGGCTTTCTTTTTTGCGATGGCTTCCAGATATTTGTGTGTTATGCCATGTGTAATGTAATGGTTCTTAACCAGGAGCAGTTTTGCACCCCAGGAGACAATTAAAAAAAAATTGAATTCAGAGAGGAAGAGAGAGGGAGAGAGAGAGATAGAAGCATCAATGATGAGAGAGAATCATTGATTGGCTACCTCTTGCACGCCCCCTACTGGAGATCAAGCCCACAACCCAGGCATGTGCCCTTGACTGGAATCGAACCCGGGACCCTTCATTCTGCAGGCCAACACTATCCACTGAGCCAAACCTGCTAGGGCTGGAGACATTTTTTTGTTGTCACAACTGGGAGGCTGCTCCTGGCATGTAGTGGGTAGAGCCCAGGGATGCTGCGAGACATCCTAAAAGGCATCAGACAGCTCTCCACACAAAGAATTATTCTGTCCAGAATATCAATAGTGTTGATGTTGAAAAACCCTGACCGTCTGGACTTAATTATTCAGCCTTTTGTTTTCTCCAGTCCCTAATGTTTGGGAAAGCAATATGTGGTCCCCAGAAAACTGTACAAGGATTCAGAAGGGGATGAAACAGCTCAAACTCTGTGACTTCTGACAGATCAATTAATCTTTTAAATAAAACTGCCTTCTTCCAAGCAAAGGGATTATAAATAATGAGAAGAATTGGAACCCCCCCCCCCCAAAAAAAAAGATGATCTTGGAATGGTTTTTATCATATAACCACATGTAATTTTTGCTTCACTCTTGAGGAGTATGAACAATTATGTTGTCTCATTAGACGCTTCCTATCATTGAGGAGGAAATACATATTTTTTTTTATTGCTCTTTTACTAAAAGTAAAAAAAAAAAGCCAAGATGGTTAAGTGTGATAGCTGGTGAAGTTGAACATCCCTGAGTGACAGACTCCCCAGGAAAGAGAGTTCATCTACCTCTAGCCTGGAGGGCCTGTTCTCACATCCAACTGCATGATGGACATGGCTGCTGCTCATGTTGTAAAGCAGCTGTCCAAAATGCCTCCGTCTCTGGATTTCTCACGGGCTTTGTCTTGCAGGGTTCAGTTTAGTTAACATTTTCTTGGTAAGGTGAAGTCTAAATGGAAAAAAAATTCACCAGAATGATAGCTGCTTAAAGTGGGAACATAGAAATGATGGACTTGGCAAGAGCACTGGTTTAGTAGTTTGGACGCAGGACTGTTACCACCCAAGTTCCTGAGCAGGTCATGTGACCAAGCATCACTGTCTTCCCCTGGGAAATTAGAGAGAGTTTTGGGTCCATAGGAGTGTTGCACTTGGCTTAACCAGATGAGATTCTGAAAAAGGAGGGGTAAATAGAGTTTTAATCAAAAGAATCCTTTAAAATATTCTGATTAAACTTGCTACATAGAGATTCTTTGAGAGGTAAAACATTTTTTGATTAAATTGATGCATTGTTTTTGGAT